CGGGGGACGGCGGGCAAACGAGAAAAGTCGTGTAGCACATGTAGCATATAAAATCGGGGGTCCCGGTGGGACGGCGGGCAAACAAGAAAGTCGTGTAGCACATCTAGCATGTAAAATCGGGGGTCCCGGTGGGACGGCGGGCAAGCAAGAAAAGTCGTGTAGCACATGTAGCATGTAGACTTGTGGGGGGTTTGTGGAGGGACGGTCAGCGAACGAAAAAAATCATGTAGCACATGTAGCATGTAGAATTGGGGGGTTTGTGGAGGGACGGTGAGCGCGCGAAAAGTCGCGTAGCACATGTAGCATGTAGAATTGGGGGGTTTGTGGAGGGATGGCTGGGGTGCTACGGCCAAGGGGCGGCTTCCTATGAATCGTATAGAGTACAATATAGCTTAGTACAGTATTCCATTATATTAGAATATATTATATTACATTGCACTATAGTATATTCTATTGCAATATATTTTAGTATGTTATATTGTATTATACTATACTATATTATATTATATTATATTATATTTTATTATATTATATTATATTATATTATATTATATACTATTATATTCTATTTATATCATACTATACTATACGAAACTCTATTCTATTATATTATACTATATATAAACATACAGCCACCCAACCTCCCCTTAGCTCCACCCCAAGAGATCTCGACTTCACCCCCCGGCCCTCCCCAAAAGCCCCGATTTCCCATGCTACATATGCTACCTGATTTTTCGGATTCACCCCGGCCCTCCCCAACAGCCCCGATTTCCCATGCCACACATGCTACATGACTTTTCGGGTTCACCCCGGCCCTCCCCAAAGCCCCGATTTCCCATGCTAAACGTGCTACATGACCTTTTTGGGATTCACCCCGGCCCCTCGCGACAGCCCCGATTTCCCATGCTATTATGCTACCTGACTTTTCGGATTCACCCCCCAGCCCTCCCCAAAAACCCCGATTTCCATGCTACACATGCGACATGACATGTAGCACGTGTAGCATTAAAAAAACATGCCGACCAGACACACAGTACACGCAGGGACGATGCGAGGCAGCCTAGTCGGGCTAGGGTTCTAGGGATTAAACCGGGAAACCCACGCAAGGCACTCGCAAGGAAGCCTAGTAGGGCTAGGGTTCGAGGGGTTCGGGTCGAGGGGTTCGGGATTTAGGGCAACGGGGGGACCCTTTCCGCACTCCGTGGCTCCGGCACCCGCTAGAGCGCACCTGTGCGGGAGCTGCTTCTCATGCTTCGGTAAACTGCAGTCCCACGGCCTCGTCTTTCACGCCGGAGCCGAGCCCCCCGCACAAGCGAGTGAGCCACATGCACACACACACACACACTTTGGCTCGGCACGAACTGATGCAGCGGACGACTGACAGGACAAGACGCGACAATGACGGACTGCAATAGTCGTACATGTTCACTGAGGCCGATGATAGAAACAACAGCGTTTTGGGGTATTTTGGGC